GAGAGAGAGAGAGAGAGAGTAAGGGGGAAAGAAAGATACGTGCATAATGTGTGCAGAGAGAAGAAGAGAGAAAGAAAGACAGAGAGGCGCGTTCGCGGTAACGAAACAAATAGGCCGGCGACTTTCACCGCGTATCCAAGAACGGCTACACGACACACAGCGAGTACAGGCTGAGCGCTCTTGGCCCAAACCACTCGAGTATGAGGTGTACCCTCGCTCACCAACGTCCTCGAAGGTGGGGGGAATTCTACTTCGAAGCCACCAGACACGAGGCATACCCTGAGAGCCAAGCGAACGGACCTCGATTCTTTTTCTTTCGCCCGTGTCTTGCACGTGTTGTCTCGATTCTTTACGCTGGTCCCTAAGCTACGATCACACTGTCCACTGCATGAAGAAGTGTGCCCTTTCGTTGATCTTTCCTTTTTTTTCTCTTTTTTCTCTCTTTCTTCCTTTTGGAGGGAGGAACAAAAAAATCGAATAATTCCCGTGTCTAATTCTCGTAATTGTCGCGGACGAGAGTGTGTCATCTTGCACGCCTTCGTAAACTGTCCCCTTATTCGAATAAGAATAACACGAACGAATCGTTGTACGGAGCCGGAGCATTTCGCACGAAGCATGCATCGCCGTGGTCAACTTTAAACAGAAGAAAGCGAATGGTGACAATTCAGTGGCGGCAAAACAGGACCAAGTGGTGATCAATTAAAGAAATGTACGGGTGCGTGTTGTTGATACGTTGAGGATGACACGACGAAGACCACCAGATTCCACATGGATCTACTTGCTAGCCTACTGGCTGCTTTCCATCCTCCTGCCTACTGTAACCGGTACGATTCTTACTCTTTATGATGCTAGATCGCGCTTGCACGCGCGCGATTTCGTTATCCGCTTGAGCGAACTTGCAGCGACGAAAGTATACCGAAAGTGAAAATATGGAACAACGATGTTCCAATCGAGAAGATCTCTTATAATTGCTATTTTATAGTTGAGAGAGCTAGCGAAACGTCCCTTGATCTTGATATATCACGAATAAGTTTGTTCGAATTGACATGCAAGTATTGCTGAGAATAATTCTTAACGTTGATTGTCTGAAATTTGATTTATTCGACACCACATAGAAAACAAATAGTGATAATTGGGATATACAATATAATATAGTAATATCATATAATATACTAGTATAATACAGTATAATATAATATAATATACTAATATAGCACAGTATAATATACTACTCAACTAACATACTATGATACTAGTATACTAATATGCTATGATAATATAATGCTAATATATTAGTAATATACTAATATACTATGATACTAGTATGATAGTATATTATACTAATATACTGTACCATCATACTATACTCTCATACTAATATACTTTATCATTTAATACTTACGAATTGACTTTTGAAATTAATTAAAAAATAATTCTTCTTCTAAAACTGGTATCATTGAATCATGACAAGGAAATCACAACAATTTGGAGTTCTAAATTACTTAATTTTGGAGCTTTTAATTCAGTTTAGTTATTATTAGAATCTCTCTATTCAGAGAAAGCGTAAAATGAAATTAAATATTCTAAATTTCAGTAACTTAGCATTAATTATATATTCATATTAATCTTATTTGATTGTTATAAATGGTTATGAATGATTATTATAACTTTAAAGAATGGAATTTATGAAATGAGTTTATGATCTTGGATTAAATATCACATGAATGAATAAGATAGAAGGAACACAATGACTTTTAAAGAGAGCAGAATGTAAATAATTTTGCGAATAAGTATCTTTCTTGTGATTTTAATATTTAATCGTGAGAAATTTCAATTTGAG